CTTGTACACGCCTTCGCCATCGGCCTGGTTGTTCACCCACTGGCCTCAGCACGGGGGCGGCAATGCGACAGTGCAAACTAGCTGGGTAGTCGAAGCCAATCTGGCGCCAATCTGGCGGGTCCAATATGGCGATCTGACGAGGGAGTCGATCTGATCTAATCTGGCGAGAGCCAATCTGGCGCCAATCTGGCAATCTGGTAAACGGCCCCAACATAATATATATATATATATATATATCATTTGAGGAGCAATCTGGCATGCGGCCCAACCTGACACCCATGCAGAGTAGCAGTAGCAGAAGCAGGCATCCAGACGGCACTTGCATCCGCGCTCGCGTGCCGCTGCCGCGTGTGTTGCCACGGCGGTGCAGAGATGGAACAGCGAAGAGGGCACCAGGCTGGGGGCGCTTCGCCTGCCCCGCTCCCCTCTCCACGGACCCCGCGCCTCTGAGCATCGTTGAAACGATCCCCATCCCCAGCGGCGCGGCCTGGGCCCCACTGGCCGATGTGCCCCCCTAGATTGCAGGGGCCCTGGGACACACAAATAAATACACACAAATGTAAAGATGTCCCTTATGTTCCCACATTTTCTGGGTTTTCGTCTTCCCCCCCTTCCCATATTTTCCTATATTTTGTGGGGAATCGAGGATTAATTGTGTCTGTGTGTGTTTCCCCTCCTGAGTATCGTTTCACCGATCCCCATCCCCAGCGGCGCGGCCTGGGCCCCACTGGCCGATTTGCCCCCCTGGATGGGGACATGGGTCGTTCTCCTCGGGTTTCCGGGGGTGCAGCCCCAACTGGGGTGGCCACTCGGTGGGGGTCTCGAAGGCGACGGAGAGGAAACAATACCGAGCCTCCCCTGCCCTCGCCCTCCCCTCCCTATCGCTGCTCCCCCAGCCGAGCCACCTCGCCGAGGCGTGCTGGGGCAGGCAGAGGGCCCGCGGGCGAGGCGATCGCGCGGCGCTCCCGAGCGAAACTCGGCGCTGCGAGATAGCACGGGGCGACACCGCAGCTCACTAACGAGAACGCACGCGGCACAACGAGGAAGGGAAGATTGGCGGCGAGCGAGGGGGGGGCAATGAGAAGGAGAAGACCTTCTCGAAAGGCTCGGAGGTCCCCCGGCCTTCTGAACAGTTTTCTGAGCCTTCCCCCGAAGATACAGAAAGCCTGTCAGAAGGCGCAGGGGGCTTCTGAGAAGTCCCGCCGCCTTCTGAAAGGGCCTTCTCCTTCTTATTTCCCCCCCTCGCTCACCGCCGACCCTTGGCCTCCCCACACCCCCGTCCCCCGCCCTCCCCTCCCCCCCTCCCCTCCCCCTCTCCCTCCCCCTCCCTGCCCCCTGCCCCCTGCCTGCCCCCTGCCCCTCATCCCGCCCCCCCCCCCTCCGACCCTCTGCCTGCCTTCTCCTTCGGGTCCCCCGCGGCCGGGAAGCCATACCTCCTCCCTGACATCGGCCTCATCGGACATCCTGGACATCGGCTTCTCCCACCCCCCTTCTCGCCGACGAGGACCATCATGGGCCTCCGCCCCTCTGGTGGTGACCATCACATCTGAAGGCGCCAATAAACGTTTTCTTACTCGGCGGTTCGACATTGGGCGGAAGGGGGGGTGGGAGGGGGGGGTCTGGCTCCGGCCTTCTCCTTAAGGCGACTGTTTGCAACAGTGCGTCCTGTGGGGGGAGACTCCACCTGCTTGAAACAGGCGCCAAAAACAGCCGAGATCCACTCCATAGGGGGGGGAAGGGGGTGCGAGGGCCCGCGCCGATCAGCCAAACAATGAATAAGAAAACGATCATCAATTGCCACGATCATCATGAAGAAGACTGCCCCCCCCTCCGCGCACGTATGTTTCCTTTTTAAATCCACTGACTAAAAGATGGGTCCCCCTCTGGGGGCCGTGGACACGTCAAAACACGTACCCCGCGCGATCACGCCAGGCGTAGGTTGGGTTTCCCCCTCCGCGCGCGCATTCTTACGCGCAAACATTTCGACGACTAGAATTTGGATATCCCCCTGGGGGCCGTGGACTCGTGAAAACACGTGCCCCGGCGCAGGCGACAGGTGCATGTTGGGTCCCCAACTCCGCACACGTACTTCGACGCTGAAGAATCCGACGACTAGGAGTTGGGTCCCCCCCCTTGGGGGTGGGGGGGCCTGGTGTGGCGAAGAGCGCGGGAAAACGCGTGCCGAACGCGTGCACGCCGACACGCGCGTTGGAGCCCCCCCCCTCCGCACACGTACCTGTACGTATCAGATTTCGATGCCTGCTGCTCGACACCCCTGGAACAGGGCCGGAGCCCTCACCAGGGAAATGGGCACGATGCCCAACAACAGATGCCCAAAACAGACAGCGGCCGCTGCTGGGCAGGGGGCCTGCTGTCTTCAATGGGCAAGGCCCGCGGCGACACAGATAGCAAATCCTGCTCCAAATGAGCAGGAACCGCTGTCGGTCTTCGTACCGTCGAACCTAAGACAGAAGAGCACCCCTCAAGAACATGAGACCCTCCACCGGCCAAACTGAAGTACATTCGAAGGGCCCTCCCCCAATACGAAGCCATAACATCCAACAAACACGCAGAACACGAGGGTACCCTCCCCGAACCGACCTCGACCTTACGCCTCGGCCCGACTCTACCCCGTCTTCCCGTGCCCCTTTAGACCGTACCGACCTGTTCAACATGAACAAGAGCTGCTGTCGGTTTTCGTGCCCACTATTTACGTACCCGTGTCGATCGCGCCGATTGGCCGACAGCCCGCCTCCTCCCCCCTTTTGTTCGGCGTCGAGCGAGGGGGGGACATGAGAAGGAGAAGGCCCTCTCAGAAGGCGGAGGGACTTCTCAGAGAGGCCCTCGCGCCTTCTGGAAAGTTTTTGCTTGCCTTCGGGGAAGGCGTAGAAAATTAGCCTGGCGAAGGACCCAACCAGACGCAGCTGCGAATACAGCAAAACTAAAGATCAATTTCGCACGCGCTCCCTATGGGAGCACGAACCGTGTAAGGGGCGTGCCGACATGCGTGGCGGGGCACACAACGCGAGCGAAGACGATTGGTCTGTGTGCGAGAAACTGAAAGCGCGTGAGTCTGATTGTGGATGAGTCTGCGCGCGCGTGTCTACGTGCATAAATGTCGACGCCCATGTCGGCGCGCCTCTCACGAGGATCGTGCCCGCTTCCTTCCCGTTATTATTATCCCTCTTTGCCCGTGCATGCCCACGTCCAAGGCTGCGGGCGCGGCGCCGCACGGAGTCCCCGCAACGCGCGCTGCTCGCCCCGAAGGGTCCAGGCGACGCGCGCGGGTCGTCCGCTGCGCTGAGCAGAACGAGCGAGCAGGCTGGCTCCCGCCCGGGATGCGCGGCCCGAAAGCGGCCTCAACACGTCGAATACGACGAAAAACCTCCACAAACCGAAAGTCGCCGCCATGCGAACTCCGCCACTGGGCCGCCATGCGACTTCCGCCACGGAGACTTTAGGTGGAGCTCCCTATGGGGCCACGAAACGTGTGAGGGGTGTAGCAAAATGGGGCTGCGCCACTGGGGCGGCGCCGCCATGCGGGCTGCGCCACTGCGACCCTAGATGGAGCTCCCTATGGGGCCACGAAACGTGTGAGGGGTGTGCCTGAATGGGGCGGCGGCGCCATGCGGGCTGCGCCACTGGGACCTTAGGTGGAGCTCCCCATGGGGCCACGAAACGTGTGAGGGGTGTGCCTGAATGGGGAGGCGGCGCCATGCGGGCTGCGCCACTGGGACCTTAATGGGAGTTCCCTATGGGGCCACGAAACGTGTGAGGGGTGTGCCTAAATGGGGCGGCGGCGCCATGCGGGCTGCGCCACTGGGACCTTAGGTGGAGTTCCCTACGGGGCCACGAAACGCTGTAATTGGTGGGTGAAACGCAGGGAGGGAGGAGGGGGAGGAGGCGGAAGGAAGGAAAACGCGGGGACCGTCTCTTCAAAACGAGGACCCAACACCACAGGATGGTTGGGAATTTATTGGAAGGCCCTGGGGACTGCCGAACCTTCTGAGGACGCCTTCTCCTTCTCACTTCCCCCCTCGCTCGCCGCCGATCTATCCCTGCGTTCCGGCGAGGCGGCGCACTTCACATACCCTCTCAGAGCGCGGTGGCCCCCGCCGGCTCGCCCGCGGCCATCCCCGACCGCTCCGCGCTGGCTCCCAAAGGCCGGCCCAGGCTGCTGCGGCTGGCTCGGCGCTGCGGTCCATGCCGACCGCCGCCCACCCCCCGAGAGGACTCACGCAGAGAGGGCGACGACGGCCGCCCACCCCACGAGAGGAGTCACGCAGAGAGGGCAACACAATCTATAGATCCACTGTTCCCTGGCCAGGCCCATCCTGAACCCAGCAGCGGTGTATATGCCACGCCCTCCCAGCTTGGCCAGGTCCTGGCCAAGCTGGGAGGACGTATACAGCAACGGTGTATACGCCACGCCTGCACAACGCATGTGTTCAGGATGGGCCTGGCCAGGGAGCTGGGGATATGTATAGACTTCGTCGCCCGAGCAGAGAGCACGCGCGGCCACCGACGCGTACCCCTGGAAGAACCGCAGATGCAACACCGCCACTGCCAAGACGATACGCACAGGCATTGCATGACTTGTCAGCCAAACCTGTCGTGCCGGGTGGCGGCGCTGCCGCTGCACGAAGGACAGCGAAAGTGGGAGGCGCGCCTTCGTAGACGTCGCCGCTAGACTTCGTGAAAGTGCCGAAGCCCTCGGCTCTGTCCTGCACGAACTGGCCTTCGAACCTGCCGCCGCGCGTAGAGCGACTTGCAGAGGCAGGGCGAAGCGCGAGCGAGCGCCAATGCCGTTCTGGGCGTGTGCGGGGAACGCTTCGCAATTCCAAAGACGGCGGACATAGAAACAGGCCAACGCATGTTTGCCAGCGTGGGCCCCAAACATGAACTCCCTGCGCTCTGGATGTGTAAACTATGTGGCGTACACTATGTGGCGGAAGCTATGTTGTGCAAGCTATGTGGCACAAATCATAGGGTGCAAACTATGTGGCGTAAGCCTTGAAGCTGTGTGGTGCATTCCTGTGGAGGCTATGTGGTACAAGCTATGTGGTGTGTGTGTGTGTGGCGCAGGCTCTGCTGTGCAGGCTGTGCGGTACATGCCGCGCGGTGTATGACGTGTGGTGAAACCCGGCTGCGCGGGGCACAACTGCGTGGTGCAAGCCGTGTGGCAATGTCGCGGCATCCCGCGAGGCCCCCAATGGCCGGGCACCGGGCGGAAACCCCGAGGCCCCAGCCGGCGCACAAGGGGCGCCCACACGCCGTGCCCACGGCCGGGCATCGGGCGAGAGCCCGGAAATCCTGCCCAGCGACTTGAGATAGCACGCAAGAGCCCCTCGGTGCAAGCACGTTTTGGGAGCCCCCCAAGCACTGAGACATCCACGCCAACGCCTCTGGAGCTCCCTTGTGCTAACCCCCGTCCCACACGTTGGGTTGCGAACGCGTTCTACTGTGTTTCACAACAGATGAGTGTCCGCTAGCGCCTCCGCACCTCGAGGGGGCTGGGGAGTCTTTTGACTAGCACCGGTTCCTTGGCTCCCTCCCTCCCTTGCAAGCGCTCCCTTGGGTTCCCTCCCCCCCGCCCTTGCAAGCTTTCCTTGGCTCTGTCCCTCCCTCCCTCCCTCCCTCCCTCCCTGGAATCCTGCACCTCCCTCTTGCAGGTGCGGTTTCCCCAAACACTGAGAGGCCCGCGCAACCAGCTAAGAACTCCGTGCTCCAACGCCCGCATGACCCCGAGCGGACCACTTTGCAACAATGGCGCGTGCCTGCCAGGTGCCCGAAACTTGAAGCCTAGGTCAGAGTACTGCATTCCGCCTCGCAAGTCAGGAGAAGGAAGAAAAAGTATAGCCAGAGCGCACTATCCCAAAACAGGGTTTTTGAAACCCACTGCGGCTTCCAAGGTCGATTGCGTGCCCGTCCAGTGCGGGCTGGCACGGCGTGTTAGAACATGATAACATGATGTTTGCACATGAGACGTTTACACGAAAACCTGTGTGACGCATGCCCATCAGGAAGCTCACGCTAGAGGGTGTCGCATTCTCTCGCAACTGGTCGACGAGTAAGCTGTCGGGTCGGCACTGTGAGAGGCTCCGCCGCCATGCTGTGATCTCGGAAGCACCTGTAAGAGGAAGAGGGGGAAGGCGCGGAAGCGGGGGGGCATGTCGTGATGGTTCCTCCGGGGATGATATCGAGAGGTACGCGGCGCACGTCTCAAAAGAAAAATCGTGACGTCGGATGTCTAGAGAGGCCGGAAGGCAGTTCGCGCATGACGGATGCTGAGGCGGCAGACACGACGACGGCGGGGACGGGGAGGCGGAGGCAGAGGCGCAGCAGCGGGTGGCGGGAGGCGGGAGGAGGGAGGAGGGAAGAGGAGCCAGGCGGGAAGCGGGAAGAGGGAGGCGGGAGAAGGAATGAGAGCGGTTGTGATTGGAGCCCCTGTGCTACGAAACGTCTCAGACAGAACGGGCCAGACCATCTCGCGCGCAACATCTTCGAGCTTCGCATTGTGAAGATGGCTCAAGCGAAACGGGCCAAACCACCTCGCGAGAGACATCTTGGAGCTCAATATGGGAAAGATGTCTCAAACGAAACGGGCCGGACAACCTCTCGCACACGTTCTGACAAGTCCACGTCACACTCGCTTCGCTTCCCGTTAGGTCCTCTCCTGCAACTCCCTGCCTTCTCCCTCCTCCTCCTCCTCCTCCTCCTCCCCTTCCTCCTGCCTGCTCCCTCATCCACATCATCCTCCTCCTTCTCCCTTCCATATCCTTCTCCTTCTCCCCCTCCTCCTCCTCCTCCTCCTTCTCCTCCTCCTCCTCCACCTCCTCTTCATCCCGAACGGCATCTCGGAGCCCAAAGTTGCGAGGATGTCTCCAGCGTAACGGGCTGGACCACCTCGCGCGCGGCATCTCGGACCCCAAAGTTGCGACGATGTCTCGGGCGAAATGTGCTGAGAGGAAGTCTCAGGCGAAGCGGGCCGGACCACCTCGAGCGCGGCGTCTCAGAGCTCCGAGTTGCGGGGGCCTCCTGGGGCCTCCTGTGGCCTCCTGGGGACCTCCTGGGGCTTCCTCCTGGGCCTCCTGTGGCCTCCTGGACTCCACCTGGGGTTTCCTGAAGCCTCTTGGGGCTCCCAGGGGGGGGATGTCTAACATGTGGCCGTTTGGGCACAAGAGAAAGAAAAATCAACGAATCGACAACGGATAAGTATTAACTTGACACGTTCTGATAGGGGGCCTCGTGGGGCCTCCTGGGAGCCTCCTGGGAATCTCCTGGGGACCCCTGGGGCCTGTCCTAGGCGTCCTGCGGCCTCCTGGAGCTCTCTAGAGCCTCCTGGGGCTCCCAGGGTCCCAAGGAGGATATGTAACATGTAGTCTTCTGGGCCCCCAGGCTGGACCACCTCTTGCGCGGCATCTGGGAGCTCAGAATTGCGAGAATGTCTTCTGCGAAACGGGCCGGACCACCTTGCGCACAGCATCTCAGAGCTCAAAGTTGCGAAGATGTCTCAGGCGAGACGAGCCGGACCACCTCGCGCAGGGCATCTCAGAGCTCAGAGTTGCGAGGATGTCTCAGGCGAAACGGGCTGGACCACGTCGCGCGCGGCATCTCCGAGGTCAGAGTTGCGAGGATGTCTCAGGCGAAATGGCCTGGACCACCTCTTGCGCGGCAGCTCAGAGCTTAGAGTTTCGAGGATGTCTCAGGCGAAATGGGCCAGACCACCTCGCGCGCGGCATCTCAGAGCTCAGAATTTGGAGGACGTCTCAGACGAAACGGGCCAAACCACCTCTCGCGCGGCATCTCGGAATGCAAAAGTGCGAGGATGTCTCAAGTGGAACATACCTACATAAAAAATGTACACGTGCCAATACGACACATGTACCTATACCTGCGTATATGAAAATGCACGTACAAGTTCACATACATATGCAAATAGTGATACATTTACATGTACAAATACCGATATGTATACATATACATACACCGTTACATCTACATTTAGATATACATATACATTTGCATGCACATAAACATATATAGTTGTATGTATATACAGAGTTTTACATACACCTATACACTAACATATGCATATACATATACATAGACATGTGTGTAGTCATATGTACATACACACACATTCATGTATACATATGTACATGTATACATATGTATGTGTGTGTCTGTCTGTGTTCGTCTCTGACTCTGTACCTCTATCTTTCCGTCTCTCTGTTTATGTGTTTATCTGTCTCTCTGTCTCTCTGCATATCTGCCTCGCTGTCTCTCTGTCTCTCTGTCTCTCTGTCTCTCTGTCTCTCTGTCTGTGTCTGCGTCTGTGCCTGTGTCTGTGTGAGTGCCTGTGTCGATGTGCGTCTGTGTACATGTGTGTGTGTGTGTCTGTATACGTGTGTCTGTGTTTGTGCTTGTGTCTGTGTCTGTGTCTGTGTCTGTGTCTGCATTTGTGTGTGTGTGTCTGTGTCTGTGTCTGCGTTTGTGTCTGTGTCTGTGTCTGTGTCTCTGTGTCTGTCTGCGTTTGTACCTGTACCTGTGTCCGTTCCTGTCCGTGCGTATATGTTTGTGCTTGTGTTTGTGTATGTGTCAAAGGAATGAGAAAGGCGGGATGGGAAAAAAAATGAGAAAGCCCACAAATCCTTAAACGGCCTGGACCCAAAACTGCAAGATTTTCCGGGGTTCCCTGGGTGGTCCCGTGTAAATTGTTCGGCGGCCGGAAGGCCCCGAAACGGCACAACCAGGCCCCAGAGGGCCCCCAAGACGCTCCTATAGGGCCCCGTGTCGGCCCAGGAACGTTCCGAGATGCCCAGGATGGCCTCGAGACGACCCAAAAGAAACCCGCAAGATGCCCGAAGAAAGCTCCGAGAACCCACCCAAGACGGCCCAACAGGCCCGCAGGAGGTCCCCCAGGGAGCCCCCGCCTGGAGCCGCGCGACGAACCAGACAAGCTCGACCGCGCCTCACCAGACAGAGAACAGGGGGCCCGAGCGGCCCCGCAGCCACGCCTTCCCCCCAACAGGGACCCGCTCCTTGCGCGGAGGCGCGCGCCACGCCCGGCGAAGGCAGACCTCCGCCCGCGACGGGTTGGGGGAGACCCCGCGAACGGACGGGCGCCGTCGCGGCGGGAGGGCGCCCACAGGTCGGCGGGGGTTCAAGCCTGCCTCGCGGACGCGCCCCCCCCCACGCCCCTGCCAGGCAGAAGAACGGGCACGATGGGATTGTCCTTCCGCCGCGCGCGGCCCGCCTGCTCCCGAGCACCGAGCGACCGCCACAACCACGGCGACGACGAAGAGAGAGGGAGCTCGAGGGAGGGTGACGCTGCCAGGAAATGCTGCGGGGCAAAAATCGAACAGCACGCGGGGGCGTTGCCCCGGCAGCCGCTGCCAGGACAGTGCTCACAGATGTGTGCAACCCACCAGTGAAGATTGTGTTGTTGAGCATTTCTTTACACGGCGGACTTTGACTTACCCCCCCATGTGAATTAGTTTTGCTGCAGCCTTGGGCTGCGTTGGATCATCCATGCTCCTCCTCGCTAGTTATTCCCCGACCTTCCTCCTGACTGTTGCTTCTTATCCTCCCCCTCCTCCGCTTCAGTTGCCATATCATATAGTATTCGAACGTTGCGACAATGACGAGGAAGGGCTCGGATCCAGAAAAGTGGCCCGAGCCAGGGGGAGAGCGAAACTCTGAACGACGGGAGCGAAACGCCGACCCAAAGTGGGGCCTACGCTGCAGCGGGAGCACCTTTTGAAGCACCGAGAGCGTTCCGATTGCAAGTGCAACGTAAGAGATATAAGTTATCCTAGCCAAAGGCCCAACCATATGCAGTTGCGAGCAGTGGTAAGTACCGTGCTCGGTGGAGCTCCATATGGGGCCACGAACCGTGAGGGGTGCGCCGAAATAGGGGTGGAACTGCATGCGAACTTTGCCGCTGGGGCCTGGGATGAGGGGGGGGGGGGGGGCGACGACGACGAGGGGAGAATAATCCGTGCCGCTAAGAAGACTGACTGCAACAATATGCATTCGCATTGGGCCCACTGCACTTTTGGGCGGCCACGTCTCTGGACCAGACGCCACTGCCGCGGTGTATTTGTTCCGGGCCCACACACCAGTGATCTGAGGTAGCTGCCGTCGGGCAACGAGCAAATTCTCTCAGTGTCTCACTCAAACGAACCGCCCGTGCTGTATTCAAAACTGTTGCGTTGGACACCCTGGAATCATACGGATGTTGGGTCCCCAAAATGTTCCAGAGACAAGATGCTTGGAAACTGTCTAGCCTGCGCCGGTACAACCACGGAGATGCCAGGTTGTACAGTACTTCCGGCACAACTATGGCATCAAATAAACGAAGCGTCCGCGATTTTGAAAACCTGCGTGGCCCCAACATCTCGTCAACCCTCTGAATACCCCTCGCGTTTCTCCCAACCATCTCGCAACTTCTGGCTCACTGTCTGCATTGCTGTGCAGGAGAGCCCGCCCAAATACATTGCTTGACGTACGTGTTTGAGCGGTTGTAACCAAAAATCCGATAGCATGCCGTCGCTGCTGGTCTTCATCACAACCGTCTTACTGAAAATCCGATCACATTGTGAAGTCCAAGAGACTTCCGCTCACGAATATAGTATCATCCGCGCACAATACGCCATTGCATACATCGTACTCCAATTCCACAAAATCATTGCCCGGCTCGTTGTACAGCTTGTCTGTCGTGAACCATGACTGTTTGAACGATAGCGAACAAGTATGGTGAAAGCGAGCACCCTTGCGTTATTCCTGGTCGTTGCTGTCTGTTGCTGGAATCGACATCCACATCTTTCGAAAGGGACGTGCGGGTTGTACATATTAGCATAATAAAAGCAAGCACGGGTTCTGGAATACCAAACCGTGCCAAGGCCTTAATCATCGCATCGTGTTGTATCCTGTCGAGACCCTTACCCCGAACGAGTAAAACTGCCACCAATCCAGGTTCCTTCGAAGCTTCCGCTGCGTCGAACATGCGGCGGGCGATAGTGATCGCATTCGTTCCTCTGACCCTCCATGCTGTAACCGTTTCTTGACCATCGAGGCGACCACCTTGTAGCCCACTGGTAGGAGAGAAAGTGGCCGGTTGTTCTAGGGTAGAGACGCGTCCTCCCTTTTGAATAACAGCACAACCGATGCAAGCCGCCATACCTCTGGTATGTTCTTGTGCTCCCAACACTTCTGGCAAACATCCAACTGATTTCTGCACGCGGGTGTCGACATGCGTAACATCTTCCAGAATTATGGTACTATCCCTTCGTGGCCTGCGGCCTTCCCAACCGCAAGGTTCTTCAAAGCTGCCGTGAAGGGCGTGCTAAAATGGGCGTCGGGCGCATGCGGACCCTGCCAATGGGGCCTTCGGTGGAGGGCCACGAACCGTGTGAGGGACGGGTGCGGGCGTCGGGCGCATGCGGACCCTGCCACTGGGGCCTGCGGTGGAGCTCTCGACGGGGCCACGAACCGTGTGAGGGTGTGCAAGAATGGGCGTCGGGCGCATGCGGGCCCTGCCACTGGAACCTTCGGTGGAGCTCCGCATGGGGCTGCGAACCCTGTGAGGGGTTTGTCAAAATGAGCGTCGGGCACATGCGGACCCTCCCACTGAGGCCTTCGGTGGAGCTCCCCGTAAGGTCACGAACCGTGTGAGGGGTGTGCCGAAATGGTGCACATGCGGAGAGCAGAGGCACGATGCTGACGATGGCGACGATAATGAGGCCTTCGGTGGGGCTCCCTATGGGGCCACGAAGCGTGGAAGAAGTGTGCCAAAGCAGAGACATGCGGAAGGCAGAGGCAGGGATGGGAGGAGAGAGGAGTGGGAGGTGAAGGGTGTTTCACGATGCTGGCCTTTGTGATGGTGAGCATGACATTGATGATGACTATGATGGTGATGATACTGATGATGATAATAATGTTGATACTGATGATGATGATGATGATGATGATGATGATGATGATGATGATGATGCTGATGATGATGGTGATGATGATGAGGATGATGGTGATGATGATGCTGATACTGATGCTGGTGCTGATGCTGATGCTGATGCTGATGCTGATGCTGCTGCTGATGCTACTGATGCTGATGCTCATGCTGATGAGGATGATGCTGATGATGTTGATAATGATGATGATGATGACGATAATCGCCGACGACGGCGACGAGGACGAGGACGAGAAGGAGAAGGAGGAGAAGGAAGGGAATGTCGATGATGGCGATGGCGGTGGTGATGACGATGACGATGACGATGACGATGACGATGACGATGATGCTGATGCTGATGATGATGATGATGCTGATGATGATGATGATGATGATGCTGATGATGATGATGATGATGATGATGATGATGATGATGCTGATGATGGTGATGATGATGATGATGATGCTAATGGTCATGGCGGCACGCGGGGAGTAGAGGCAGGAACGGGAGAAGGGAGGAGGGGGAGGAGGAGGAGGAGGAGGAGGAGGAGGAGGAGGCGGGGGAGGAGGAGGAGGAGGAGGAGGAGGAGGAGGAGGAGGAGGAGGGGGAGGAGGAGGAGAGAGAGAGGAGAGGAGAGGAGAGGAGAGGAGAGAGAGGAGAGGAGAGAGAGAGGAGAGGAGAGGAGAGGAGAGGAGAGGAGGAGGAGAGGACGCGGGGCGCTGTCTCTTCCAAACGAGGACCCAACATCACAGCATGGCTAGGAGCTACGGGAGAATGCCTTGGATGCCTCGGCCCCTCGCAGGGGCTCGGCGGACGACGACGACGACGACGACGACGACGACGACGACGACGACGACGACGACGACGACGACGCCGCCAGGCGCCTGCCACCGTCAGGGAGCGTGGCGATGCCTTCCCCGTCGCGGAGAGCGCCGCACCACTCCCCCTGGTAGGACACGCCGTCCTCCAGCAGCTGTGCCGGCCTGGACTCCCTGCGCAGGGGCCAGGAGGAGGCGGCGGCGGAGGCGGAGGAGGTGGAGGAGGAGGAGGAGGAGGAGGAGGAGGAGGAGGTGGGGAAGGAGGAGGAGGAGGAGCAGGAGAGAGAACGATGAGGAGGAGGAGGAGGAGGAGGAGGAGGAGGAGGAGGACGACGAGGAGGAGGCATTGGAGGAATTGAGCCTCTTGCCGTCGCTCGGGCCTCCTATTCCCGTCGATTCGTCGGTTTCGTGCGCTGATTTCTCGCAAGACGACCCAGGATGCTCCTCGATGGTCCTCGCCGAGAACAAAAAAAGGGCACACGTCCGAGCGATGCCAAGGCGTCGTCCTCCTCCTCCTCCTCCTCCTCCACCACCTCCTCCTCCTCCTCCTCCTCCTCCTCCTCCTCCTCCTCCTCCTCCTCCTCCTCCTCCTCCTCCTCCTCCTCCTCCCCCTCCTCCTCCGAGAACCGTGCCTGTGTGCGCCTCCCCCTCCCGATCCTCGGGAGGGCGGCGGGGCCTCCCCACGAGGCCCCCTCGCGCCTCCCGAGGAGGCGCCCGTGCCTCCGGGGGACCTCCGAGCCTTCGGAGGCCCCGCCCCCCTGACCTTCCAGAGAGCTATGTTCTAGCACTGGAGACCTAAAAACCTAAAAAGCGGGGAGCGAAACAGCCCAAAACCAAGACGTAGAATAGCTTTGGGATAGGTTTTTAGGTCGGGCGCTATTTTTGTTAGCCCTCCTGGAAAATCAGGGCCCCCTCGCTCGGGCTACCTCTGACCCGGGTCGATCCGGACCCGGGTCGATCGGGCCCTGCAGAATCCTGCAGGATCCTGCAGGGTCATGCGGGATCCTGCACCCAGGCCCGGGCCAGTGCGACCCTGGCCCTGCAGGATCCTGCAAGATCGGGCGCTCTGGCTGACCCCCGTTTGCGTTGACCCCCGTCTCAATGAAGGCGCCCTGGGACACACAAATAAATACACACAAATAAAAAGATGCCCCATATTTTCCTATATTTTCTGGGTTTCTGTCTTCCCCCCCACTTCCTATATTTTCCCATATTTTCTGGGGAATCGAGGATTAATTGTGTCTGTGTGTTTTTTTTCCTCCTGACTCAAGGCTCCCGACTCGCGCTTCCCCCCCCCCCCCGGGCGCGCCGCCGGTTCTCTCTGAGGTCCCTCTCCCCACCCCCCCCCACTGGCGTGGCCTGGGGCCCCACTGGCCCTCCTCCTCCTCCTCCTCCTCCTCCTCCTCCTCCTCCTCCTCCTCCTTCTCCTCCTCCTCCTCCGCCTCCTCCTCCCCCTCCTGGCCCCACTCCCCGAGGGGGGATCTGGGCTACTCCCTCCGGGGCTCCGCGCGGCCCGCTCCCACGGCGCGGGGCCCGAGCGGTGCTGTGGCCCAGACGGGGATGGGGACGGGGTCGAACGATACCGAGGCACGAGCGGAGCAGTGTCCTCGAGAGCGTGGGGCCGAGAGGTCGTGGCCCGGGATGGAGATGGGGACAGGTCCAACGATACCGAGGCACGAGCGGAGGGGTGCCCTCACGAGCCTGTGCGCATCCGCGCCCTCGCGGCCCGGGCTCCAAGGCGAAGTCGGGCGTGTCCCTCTACAGGGGGGCTTTCGACAAAAATTAAGAAAGACTCGACAAATACTCAAAAATGGTGAAAAAATGTGCAAAAGATGGTCCCCACACGATGTTTTGACTCTTTTTGGATATCCCTCCTGTAGAGGGACGGGCCCGACTTAACTCCAAGACACGGACTCGCGGACACGCGGGCGCGCGGGCCCGTTCCGCGCGGGGGGCAGCCGCGAACCAAAAAAAAAACGCCCCGGAGGTCCACGAGGCCGCGGCCCCCCAGAGGGGGACCGGCCCGCGAGGCCGCGGGGACACGGCAGGGGCCCCAGGACACACAGCTGAGTGCACACATATAGCAGGATTCCCCATGTTTTCCCATGCTTTCTGGGTTTTTGTCTTCCCCCCCACTGCCCATGTGTTCCCATGCTTTCTGGGGAATCGGCGATTCATTGTGTGTGTTGTTTCCCCTCCTGAGATACCGAGAGGCTCTGCGCCCACGAGTCCGCCACCGTGCCCTGCGGCACGAGTCGGAGTGTCCTCGGGTCTTCGGTCGAATCCCTGAAGCCTCAGCCCTCAATCCTGAGGATTATTGACGGGGTCCTGAGCCCAAGTTCTCAAACCTTCCGAAGCTTACCGCGTGCCTCCTGGAGCTCGTTGAGGCTTCCCACGTGAATTTGTCGTGGCCAAGCGGGCTCCACGAAGAGTCAAGAGGGCTTCAAAAGGCCCCCAGGACGGTCCAAGAAGGCTCCGAGTCGCAGAAAGACCGCTCCAAGACGCCCAAGATAGCCCCAAGACAGCCAAAGACGCCCCCAAGCCGCCCCAGGAGGCCTCCAAGAGGCAGGAAGCAATGATTTCCCAAGATTTCTGAAAGGGTTTTGCCGTTCTCGCCCCTCAGCTTCCCAGCGCTCCCAGACCAGGCCCCCGAGATCGCCCCAAGGAGGCCCAGCAGTCAGGTCTCCCCAAGACGGCCCGGGAGGCCCCCAAGACAGCTCCAAGGGGGAGCCCAAATGGGGGGCCCGAACAAATACTCTGAGCCCTCGGCCCCGACGGGCCCCCAGGAGGCCCCAAGAGGCCCTCAAGAGGCCCCCAAGAGAGCCCAAGAGGCCCCCGAGAGGCCACCTGGAAGCCCCGAGAGGCTCCCAAGGGTCTCCCAAGAGAGGCCCAAAAAATATCCCCAAGATGCACCCGAGAGCGCTCCAAAGAGACCCCAAGAAGCATCCCTGAGAACTTTGACCTACAACCCAGGCACGGTGGCGGGATGGACCCTAAGGCCATTAGATAATGCTAGGAGGCAGCCCCTGAAGTCTTCGTACGAGCGACAAGCGGGATGCAGAGGGACATACTAGTACTATGCGCACCCCTTGGAAACACACGTCCGAATTGGACACGTAGTCCAAACATATTGTTGTATGTCGCTTTTCCCACATCGCCCTTCATTATATCCGCCACCGTGCCATGGGCACTGAAAGGAGTGCCCTGAGGTCCCTCAGAGCCCTCGATGAGGACTATGAGAAAGAAGGGCCCCAGACCTCCAACTCACGAAATTATTGGGTGCTTTCTGTGCGCTTTGGGGGTTCGCCGCGTGACGTTTCCTGAGGTCTTGGGAGCGTGGCTGGGGTCTCCACCTCCCACATGTTCGAAGATTTTCCCAGGGGGGTCTGTCCTGGGGCTACGTCTTGGAGGCAGTGAGGACCAACCAAAGATGCCAAAATCATTGAAAAGGCAATGTTTATTGGTGTAACTTCGCATACATGCTTCAAGAGCGTCCACGAAGACCCATGGGCCCCCAAAAGGCCCCAGGACGGCCCCCGAGACCCCGAATTGGGGCCCAAGAGGTCACCAGGAGGCCCTCGAGAGACCCGCAAAAGGGGGGGGCACGAATTGCCATTTGGAGGCATCCACCCAAAAGGCCCACGAAATAGACGGGCCTCCAAGAGGACCCCGAGACTCCCAGGGGCCCCCGGGAAGCCCTCAAGAGGCCCTCGAGGGACCCCCGAGGGGCTTACAGAAGGTCTCCACGAGCCCCCCCATCAGAGACCCCGAGAAGCATCCACGAGGCCCATTGCCCACGACCCAGGCACGGCGGCGGGATGGGCATGCCATTAGAAAATGATACGTCTCGAATGCCGTGTACATTGATATTCGGCGGGTGCTCCAATTTGTTCAACGAGCACCCCCCCAATGCCACACAGCCTGGCGGCCAGTATTGGCCGCGCACGCCCACCGAACCCACACACTGTAGCGATACACCGCCCACGCATCGATACGACTGCGTCTGGACGTGGGTCTGAGTGCGAGTAACTCTACGGGTAAAGAAGGCGGGAGGTGAGCGTCGCGGAATGATGTCACTAATCACGCCTCATGAACCCCTTACGCACGATACGGGAAAATCAATGGGGATGATCATCGGATCGGGGATGCGATCAATAATACCAAGGTGTCCCATGAAACGGCTGCGAGCATTGCGCGGGGAAACAAGCAAGCCCCTGCTTGTACTACAGAGTGCGATGCATAGCAGCCCCCCGCCCCCCCGCCACACCGCACTCTCCCATCACAGACACGCACGTCCCCTCCGATCCGTGGCCACTCTGGCCCCAGCGCTCGCACGGCGTGGCAAGCTCAGCAGCCTCGGCCACGCTGCTCGAGCTGGCTGAGGCTCCCTCGCCCCTGCCTGCAGGTGCCGCCGAGGCTCCTCCTCCGGAGCTTCCCGATGGCCCCCGCCCAGGCCGTGGAAGGGCGGCGGCGGCCGCTGACCCCGCGGCGGATGCCGCGAAGCGTCGGCGCCGCCGCCAGCGCCGCGCGGCGCGGCGTGCTATTGGAGCTGGCGCGCCCGCCGCCTTCGACGTGGACGCGTCGCCCGACGGCGCGATCGGCGACGCCCTCGCCGACGACCCTGCTACTGGCCATCGCTCGGACGTCCATTCCCTGTGCTTTTTTCGGCTTCGTGCGTGGTTTTTTTTTTTCGCCATATGATCAAGGATGCTCCTCGATGGTCCTCGACCAAGGAAAAATGCACACGTCCGAGCGATGCCAAGGCCACGGCGGTGCTTCCGGCGCTGCCCGCGGGCGCGGCGGCTGCGGCGGCGCCCTCGGCGGCGGGAGCAGACGGTGCGGACCTCGCCCTGCCGCCTGCGCAGGTGGGGCCTGAGCCGAACAAAACCGACATGGGGGTACCGCTACTCTGAAGGGGCCCACAAACACACAAATAAATACACACAAATAAAAAGATCCCCCATATTTTCCCATATTTTCTGGGTTTCTGTCTTCCCCCCCACTTCCCATATTTTCCCATATTTTCTAGGGGATCGACGATTAATTGTGTCTGTGTGTTTCTTCCCCTCCTGATACTCCCAGGACCTTTCCCTGGGGTGCGCTCTGCCCAGGATTTCGAAGCGGATCCAGCGGTGGCAACGAGAGCCTCCCAGGAGGCCCAAAAAAGGGAAAACGAGGGAAGGGTCGGAGGTGAGGGGGTGAGATCGAAGTGGAACGGGGAGCCCCCCCTACGGGGAAATCGGTTTCGGTTTCGTGTTCGTGCGTGCCGTGCGTGCGGGCGAGGCGAAGCTGCGTGGGCGGGCGAGAACAAAGTGTCCTCCGGCCGGACCAAATGGTTCCTTTCCGGGGGCCGGTGCCGCGCGGTGTCCCGCCGGTGTCCCGCTGGTGTCCCGTCGGTGTCCCGATGATGATGATGATGATGATGATGATGATGATGATGATGATGATGATGATGATGATGCTGATGATGATGACGATGACGATGACGATGATGATGATGATGATGATGACGACGATGATGATGATGATGATGATGATGATGATGATGATGACAATGACGATGACGATGACGATGACGATGACGATGATGATGATGATGATGATGGTGATGGTGATGGTGATGGTGATGATGATGATGATGTCGATAATGTTGATGATGATGATGGTGATGGTGGTGATGATGATGGTGTCCCGACGATGACGATGATGATGATGATGTTGACGATGGTGATGATGATGATGATGATGACGGTGATGCTGATGACCATGAGGGTAATGAGGATGGTGTCCCGATAATGATCATGATGATAATGATGTTGATGTTGCTGACGATGATGGTGTCCCGATGATGCTGATGTTGATGATCGAGATGATGTTGATGATGATGAGATGATGAGATGATGATGTTGATGATGATGATAAACATGATGATGATGGTGTCCCGATGATGATGGTGATGATGAGGTTGATGATGATGCTGTTGATGATGATAGTGATGATGATGGTGTCCCGATCATGATGATGATGTTGCTGATGATGATGATGATGACGATGATGGTGTCCCGATGATGACAACGATGTTTATGATGAGGATGATGATGAGGTGATAATGATGATTTTGATTATGGTGGCCCGATGATGATGACGCTGATGTTCATGATGATAGTGTCCCGATGATGATGGTGATGATGATGATGGTGGTGGTGATGATGATGGTGACGATGATGATGGTGTCCCGATGATGTTGATGATGATGATGTTGATGATGATGCTGCTGATAATGATGGTGTCCCGATGATGATGTTGACGATGTTGTTCATGATGATGATGATGATGATGATGAGATGATGATGGTAGTGTTCCGAAGCTGATGATGATGGTGTCCCGATGATGATGATGTTGATGATGATGATGATGGTGACGATGAAGGTGTCCCGATGATGATGATGATGGTGATGATGATGTTGATGATGATGAGGTGATGATGATGATGATGATGATGATGGTGTCCCGATGATGATGAAGATGATAATGATGATGTTGATGACGTTGATGTTGATGATGTTGATGATGATGATGACGTTGATTGTGAGATCGATTGTGATAACAATAGTGAGATCGATAGTGGGACCGAATGTGAGATCGATTGTGAGATCGATAGTGAGATCGATAGTGAGATCGATTGTGAGATCGATACTTAGATAGATTTTAGATCGATTGTGAGATCGATCGAATGAAATAGATCGAGTGAGATCGATTGTGAGATCGATCGAGTGAGATCGATCGAGCGAGACCGATAGTGAGATCGATAGTGAGATCGATAGTGAGACCGATCGAGTGAGACGTTGGTTCCTCCCCCCCCGAACCTCCTTATCACCCGAAGGGTGGTCGTATCAGTAATAGTATTAACATCTTTTTCCGCCCCCGAGCTTGCGCCGAACAAAACCAGCAGGCGCGGCAGCCGCCCTCGCCGTTGTTTCGTTCCCGCCGTCGTCGCGGAGGCCGCCCGCGGCGGCGGGCCCGGCGACGCAGGGGCGGCCCGCCCCCGCAGGGCGCCAGCGGCGCCGAGCCGCGGCGCGCCCTCGGAGAGCTCCCGCGCCTCCGGGCCGCAAGCGCCCCGAGCCGCGAGCGCGCAACGACGCCGAGTCGGCGCGGGGGGGCGCCGCGGGCGCACTGCGAGGGCGCCGCTGGCGCCACTGGCGGCCTCCGCGACGACGACGACGGAAAC